TCAAATGAATATTATTGTTTAAGGTGTTGTACAAATACCTGTTAATTTGTAAGTCTGTAGTCTGTTTTTTAGAGTAAATACTTTCAGAGCTAGGAGTGTTGGGGTAATAGCCAGCTAGTGGAGCCTAAAGTTGAGTTTGTTATGCTGCAAATGTGCAAGATTAGACTTTCTTCCGCTTCAGCGGGGAGAAGAGAAGATGTGTTAAAAGCAAAACAAAGTGATGGAACTTCTACATTGCTCCCAATGGTCTGTAAATGTTACATGTGCCTTTACTCTTAGAAACAGAATCTCCTCTTCTTTGTTTCAAGCCAGGATAAAAGAAAACATTCCCTTCATTTTAATTCACAAGCGGGTTAAGCAATATCACCACTGTTTGAGATACAATTCCGACGGTGAAAGCATGCAGTGGGTTTCTAAAGACGTGCTTTCCGCCACACAGAGAGCCCCATGTTTCACCAATCATAATAAGCATCCAACAAGGCCAGAAGAGACATGGGCTTGTTCATTGTGGAATCTATACCAGGATATATTTATTTGCTTTAGGTATTCCCACATGTAATATAACTTGACATCTTCAGTCTAACTTGAAGAATGATGGTTTTATCCCGGCGGTGTTTTTTATGCCAACTTATTAAATTGCGGCTTTGTGGAATTAAGCAGAACAAAGGTGTAATTCTGAATTAATTCAAAATTAATTGTTTTTTATCCTGCGGGACATCCCCAATAGCTCTTTCCCCCCCTTTAAAGGAAGCCTAAAGATCTGTTAACAATAAGCAAATAAGTCACTTGAACAAGAATAAGCTTGGGAAGGTTTCTTCGGAGGCCTAGGCCTTGAGGAAATTTTGGCTTGAGAACCTGTCTGAGGGCTGTAAAATATGCCTAATTTAATTCTTACCTAACTACCCAAGTTCCCTTTGGAGCATAACGTACTATAAAAGGGTGTGGGGAAGGGGCATATGGAGAAGCTTTCGCTTCCAAACCAGCAATGCCCTCTAGAAAACTATTTCATTTTACTGGTAGCGGTTAAATACACAGTCCACAATCAAAGGTGCAGTATCAGCAGAAATAAGGAACTTGGCTCTTTCCTTACAGCTGGCGTTGGTCTAATCTACAACATATTCTTGAATATAAAGCTTGCTCTGTTTGCCTGCTCTGGGTGCTTTCATTAAGAGGCCTGACTCTTCAAAAACCCCTGAGTGGAGGGCCAAGGTGCTAATTAGGGAAGTCGGAGTGTTTGGCTTCCCTTACCCTCCTGCTATTTCAGCTAGATGGGATTGTTTCTTCATACACCTTTAATAACGCACAACTAAAGAAATCTCCTAGCTGAATAGGCAAGCTACGGTTAATGTAGCTATGCTTTTAAAACACACGTGCACACGCTGGTGACCTTCAGTTTTGGAAAAACGTTGATTGCCTTTGTAAAATTGTGAAAGATATTGTCAGCACCTCTCCATTAGATAATTAAGAAAGAAAGACCACGAGTCTCCATGTGTGGAAAGCAAGTGTACTTTTGCTAATTATAAATGACTAAAGGCATAGCGAAG